GAATACAAATATTCAAGTATAAGTATTCAAGTAAGTATTTCTAGAAAACCAATTTAGTTAGGCCAAGGGTTGCTAACTTGGTATTAAAAAAATAATTATTTGTCTATAGGCTAGTTTAAATATTTATTAATTATTAATATTTATTATATAGGCCCTATTATTAATAAATCAATGCGAGACACTAAGTTAGTAATTAAGTATTGTTACTCATTCCGCAGTAATTACTAACCAAGTTAACTTAGTCTGTCCTATATAAACGCAAGCTTTAGCTTGAAATTTGATTGTGGATGGATGGAATGGGTTGGGTCGGCCGCAGCATTTTTGAACAACTGTGGTAGACACAAAGAACACAGTACACAACTTAAGTTAGTGATGAATTTAATTTTTAATTTAAACAAGGTAATTTTTTTAACAAACAGGGTATGCAACACAGGGTTTTAAGGTAGTTGTGTCTGTGAGACGTTAGTTGTATTAGGAGCAACTTAATTACTTTAAAAACTGTAGGCCTAACTTTATCTTTACAACAGAGACTGGATAAGTTAGTTGTAAGTTTATGGTTTAACTTAACTGAAAGAAACACAGTCTCGATGTAGACTGAGTAGGAAAGGTTGACTTTCATTCTTTTATATAAGTTATATGCCTCCTTTAAAGAATACTTTATAGAAATGCCTAAATGAGTTCAGTCTGCACCCATTGAGGTTCGATTAATTCTGCGAAAGATTTACACAAAAGATAATCCAATAACTTACCTAAGTTACTTGCTGCAAAATTTTATTTAGTAGGCCTAAACCTTTACCATATGTTAGTAACTTAGGTCTATAAGATTGGCTTGAAATATGATTAGGAGTTTAACCAACTTCATACCATAACTGGGCCATCATGAACCAGACTACAGTATCGGACAGTAGTGTAGTAGAGCAGGAATGCTGTCGAGATTAAGTATTGATTGTTTAATCGATTGTAGTTAACTATTGCCTTAAGCCGGTTTTCCTATACGGGGAAGAGGAGAGCGGAGAGCGGAAAAGCAATTAACATGGCATTCCACTCCGCTTCTAGGAAAACAGTACCGGTAACATTAAGTTTCCTAAGACAAGAGGAGTCCGCTCTCCATGTTCCTCTCTCCGCTTCCGCGCCTAGGAAAACCCAGCTTTATTGTTCAAATAGTTTGACTTAGCGATAGTATAGTGTACACTAACACAATCGTAATAGAAAAAAAAAAAAAAAACTATTGAATCACTTAATCACTAGGCCTAAACAGCTGCTTGTTTCTTAAAACAAGTTAAATTGCAAAACAGTTAGGGGTAGTTTTGAAAAGCTATCTTTAAATTAAAACTATTTTAGTTTTGTAACATAGTTTGTTTGCATAATGTTGAAATAAGTTGTGTCAAAAAATATAGTTCCATAAAAGTGTCTTTTCAACCCTCGCTCGGGTCAAAAAGAGTCACTTTAGGCCCTAGTGATGAAATATACTATTAGACACTAGAGAACTTTATGATTGGCTCATTCAACTGTGTTCAAATTAGCGACCATATAAATCGATTGGATGTCTCACTTCAGTATATAAAAATAAATTATATTATTAAAAATATTTACACACAACTGCTAACCCTCACAAGAAATAAAGACACTTACATTTTTCGGGGTGGGGACCGTGATCTGATGCACAGGTTTTTAGTACAGCAGAACCCTGCATTACAGCCCAAAAGCAATTTTTTTTGTAAACATTGACGATACAAATAAAGTAACTAAAAAAAGATTACTTTCTTTTGCAATGTGTTTAAAATTTAGACGACTACACATTCTTATCTCAATAATTGTCGAATTTAAATATAAATTAACAAAGGTATTTTTACAGTTCCTCTAATTATATTGATGAACTAAGTTAAATTTAAAAATAATTACAGTAAAATGAGACATTTAATGCAAAAATTGCTTTTGAGCTGCCCTCTGCATTTTAGCTTCAACGAGGTAGGCCTACTTATCTTTTACACAACTGCCATATGTCTTGCCACTCAGTAAAATGTCTTATTTTGTATTTGCCAAATGTGTGCAAGACTGTGGCGTCACAAATTAGTTTTATCATTTGTCAAAGAGGTTCTTAATACTGTGGTGCAACAACCTCGCTCTCAGACTACCTGTCGCTGAACAGGTGAGCATTTTTTCGTACAAAAACTATCGGTTCAACATCGAAATACTAAGTATTGGTATTATTTCCAATCAAATGGGTTCGATTCAATCGATTGATGGTTGAATGAATGTAATGAGCACTATTACCGCAACAATACGTGATGCTGCCATCAGTGTTTGTGGTGTAGTGGATAGAGCATTGGGCCTAACTTAGGCCTAAGTTATGTCTACTAAGTTAGGCTACAATCAGAGAAGTGTCCCAAAACAAAAGGTAGGCCTAATTGAAAAAGTTAAGTAAGTTACCTTGATTGAATAAAAACACCCTAGCCTCACTTAACTTAGCCTATAGTTCCGTAAAAAATCCACACAGGCAAGCTCAGAAGATGCTAAGCAAAATACATCACCTACATTGACAGCACACTGTAAGTAAACTTAATACACAACCAACAGTAATTTACACTCTAATAGGCAGGATAGCTCAGAAAAACATCACCTAAAATGACAACAGCAGTTATTTACACTTAAGATATTTATTTACGTAAGTAAAAAAAAGCCTGCACAAAACATACCAACAGAACATACCAAGTTTCCAAACAAGAGCAGAGCAGACAGTCACAGCGACAGCCAGACACAGAGGAGCGCAGCAAGCGGCAGGCAATGGTACTAACTGAACTTGTCTGCCGCCCAGCGGGAAAAAAAGTGAGGAGCACACACTGCCTGCAAGGTCAAGTGTCAAGCACTAACAATCCTTTTTTTGCTAGAGTCGGTCCAGTGTCCACATGTTTTGTTTATAGTCATGGCAAAAGTAAGTTTTATGTTTAATTCCTTCTTTGTCAGTTTGAAAGGATTGCTCACTGTTGCGTGAAATGACAACAGTTAGCGATACGGCGATACCTATATGATAGGCCTAAAAAATTTCTATTTCGCATTGATTTATAAGTTTAAAACATGAAGGGCTTAAAAAGTTCAAAGATTGTAATGGATCGGTAAAGAACCAAATCTGAACTGATATTTTAATTTCAAATTTAATGCTGCACCTCTTCTGTGATGGCTTTCTGCTCTTCCACTATATATTTATCTATAGTCATAGTCAAGTATCTTTATTCATAGTGGTTGTACAAGAATAGTGTCAAATAAGTTAAAACTATGATTAAGCCATTTTCAATTTGTCTAAAGAGTGAAAGGACAGGCCCATATAATATTCCTTGAGACGTGTTTTAAAAATGTTGTGTTTTTGTTCTTTTTTATTTTTAAAGGAATAAATTTTAAAAAAATCATCTGCATTGACAGTCTTTTTTTAAGAGCTCTAATATATGTTATCCAATTACGAAGTTATTTTTGTTACGTGTATTGTAATTTTGATTATTACCTGCTCTTCCATTGCCCTGTTCCTCCTTGATGTTGTAGAGACATTTTGTTTGTTTCCTTAATAAAAACTGGCTAAGGCAAAACAATAATATTCCCGCCACAGCAAACCTGCAGACTTAGCGAATTTGCATTCACCTGATTGGATTTACACTAAAATGTCTTCTTAAAAATGTCACATTTATACCCTATTTCAATAAAATTAGTTTAACGAGTACTTAGGGTTTCTGCAACAGGGAGGGTAAAAAAGTGTTTTTTGTTGTAAAATGTTAATACTGTAGTTTAGTTTTTGGCTTCTAGGGACCTCAAAACGAAAAAGTAAATTGGTCCCAGGTCCAGGTCTTACCATGAGTACTACGGTAATAGCTTAATCCCTATATGGGAAATTCGCTAAAAACTGGATAAGGCAAATGACCAGCTTTGCTGTCTTGAAGTGCTGAAAAAAATTGCTTCTGTTGCTGCAGCAAGAGGTTGTACGCCTGTTTGGATGGGTTTTGTCCGAAGAACTCTTCGCCAAATGCGTCTTTTAAGGTGTCACACAGCTACAGTAAATGTACCGTAATAATTATAATAATTAGGAGCATAAAAATAATTATGAGAGTAGAATAAGTAGATGATTGCAAAAAGCCATGTCAATTGTGTTGGCATCCGATACCCGGCAGCTACAACCATTTTGTGTGTTAACTACCAGTTTGATTTTTTTGTAACTACCTGAATGTAGAAAAGTGTTTCAACTACTTTCCCCTGAAGACTTCATTTCAATATTGACTATATGGACTCTGCCCTGTGGGCGTTCAAAGTTTTGAGTTAAGAGTTATAAAAAGTAAATATTGATTGACTTTTGATACTGCAATAAGCAGAAGTGTACATTTTATATCCCATAATTATATCTCGAGTCTCTTCTAATCTAAGTTTCTTGCGTGCTTTGTTGTTGGAAAAAATGTATTCTTATTTTCACTAAACATGATCATGACATATTTTTTTATATGTTGCGATTAATTTAGTGGTGTATAGTGTTTAGCTACACAGCTGTTTCAATTGCAATACCTATTTTAAAACTAAGCTGTTTACAGTTGAGTTTTGTTTCTAAAAACATTGGAAAAAGTGTTAATTATATTTTTCTATAATCAATGGTAAGAGTGTAAACTTGAATTTTGGAACAGACAAAGTTATACATGGTTATACATACTTTCTATATGATTTGCAAATCTTAACCAGCTCTTTGTAAGTTATTTGTCAATAAAATATTTACATTAATGAAAATTGTGTTGTAATTAGCAACAAGGATATGTTAAAGATGAATTAATATCAAGATATCTCTTTTGACCTTATTATTTTAATTGACAATGTCAGTTAGTGAAAGTAATAACTTCAACAAACATAATAAACAGTTTATTCATAAAACTAGGCAGTAGCACAACAAAGTAGGTATTAAAACTAAAAAAGCACCTTCATTAAAAACCATAAAATTATCTTAATGATACAAAATGCAAAAAAAGAATACTGATGTTCAAAACAAATATTAACCTAATCAACATAATCAGCCATATCTCTCATCCTCCATGCCCCCATCGCCATCCACCCGTCATCAGGCCTGAAATAGATACAGAAAAAGAATTAGTATTAATGACTAATTCTGAATTTATGTGGATAGTTTAGAACAAGGTTTATTGTCATGACGAACATTTTAAGTATAGCCTATGGTTTATGGGGTTGTGACTTGTAGTTTTCTCAAAAGTTCATGGGTACTTTGGGATTTATTGTACTTTGGGATTTATTGTATTGGGACTCTTTGAGTTTATTGTATCAAAGTAGATTGTGCAAATCCACCAAATCAGGTTGATTAACCTTGGTGGTTATTGTTTTGTGTACTGTAATATCACTGAATTGTACAGTTCTATGTAATATTGAAACAATAAAGATTTTTCTAATATATATTTATCTATTATGGATTAATGAGTTAATTAAAAAATGTAAGCCTTTAATATCCAGAGTTTGTAGGAATATGAACTTTGAACTGGATCTTTGGAAATAAAAGTAGACATACAACTACATAGGTACTCTATTTGAGCTTGTGGAAACACCATTTTGAGTCTTATTTACATTACCCTCTGTGTAAAAAAGATATTTATTTACATACAGATTAGTGGCTGACACTAAGCACTACTATACAGTAATGAGCCATATTCATAATTCCTCACTCTGCTTCGATAGCCTAGGTTAATTTAGTTATGTCAACATGGAAGCTAGGAAACTGGGGAAGCAATTGGGAAAAACAAGGCTTAGTTTCTTCTTTCAAGGTTAGTAATGGATTTCTGTTAACACACACTTTGTACACATTTTATATTCTCTTGTTCCTACAACCAAAAATTTTATCAAAAGAAATACAATGTTATTTTCGATGTTGCAAATATACCACAATAATTGAAAGTTTTTATCCCTGGATAGGTGGAACATAGTGAGTTAAACATTGTTTACCTCTGATAAATCTATACTCATTCCAAAAGGAATGCCTTGTATACAGCAATAGTACATTTCAGCACTAGGGGTTACCATAACACTTATTGTGAAAAGCTTGGCTTCTAGTTTTGTCTACTGGTTTGTATCCAGCCGTAATTCCTGGTTGTTTTTACACAATGGTCACTTTACTACTAAACTTAACCTGAAAAATACCTAAAAAATGTATATAACTGTCGTTGTTCATTTAGCGTTACCCAGGAGACACGTGCCAACAATATAGAAACATTATTCTGTACTGTTTGACGGACGCGAACAACAGTTATCTCCCATATTGCAGCCATTGTAGGCGCAGCACAAATTGAAAAACAATTTGTAATAATTGATTGCAGCCATTGTAGGCGCAGCACAAATTTGTGATAATTGATTGCAGCCATTGTAGGCGCAGCACAAATTGAAAAACAATTTGTAATAATTGATTGCAGCCATTGTAGGCGCAGCACAAATTTGTGATAATTGATTGCAGCCATTGTAGGCGCAGCACAAATTGAAAAACAATTTGTAATAATTGATTGCAGCCATTGTAGGCGCAGCACAAAGTGATGAACGTTTGTAGTGATAATTGCAGCCATTGTAGGCGCAGCAAAAACTGAAAAACAATTTGTAATAATTAATTATGATTGCAGCCATTGTAGGCGCAGCACAAATTGAAAAACAATTGGTAATAATTAATTATGATTGCAGCCATTGTAGGCGCAGCACAAAGTGATGAATGTTTGTAGTGATTATTGCAGCCATTGTAGGCGCAGCAAAAATTGAAAAACAATTTCTAATTATTATGATTGCAGTCATTTTAGGCGCAGCACAAATTGAAAAACAATTTGTAATACTCATGATTGCAGCCATTGTAGGCGCAGAAAATTTACCTTTGGCTGTTATTCAGGGTTTTTTTTTAGTTGACATAAATCTTCTTTGTTGGACTATTTTTGTTGAAGTACCTGGTACTGATTGCATCTCCATTGCTTTGCCATCTGTTGAGCCTATAGCTCCAACCACTGAGTTGATTTTATCCATTTCCATCTTTAAAAATTTCAGCTGATCCTTACAAAATAATTTTGGCTCCAAAGCAGTTAGCATAGCTTTAAAATTCTCAATCACTCTTTTTTTTCTACCACAAAACTGTCACTGTCGGCATCAGTGATTCCTTCCATTATATTTTCAATTTCCAGTTCTTCATTAGGATGAATGTTGCCGTCAGTTTCCATTTGGCATTCAATAGAATCAGTTTCAGATTCAAAATCGGCAATTGTTCTGCACACAGCATGAATGTGTTTGCACATATTGTTCTTGATTGAGTTTTCAAAACATGAACATGAAAATTCGTGGAAACATGAGTTACAGTGACTGCAAAGAAGGTTGCACGACAGACATTTTTTAAGTTTTTGGACACTGTAAAACTCTGTTTGGGTACTTGATAAAACTTGCCATTTATTTCCACCCAAAAATGAAATATTGTCTCTGCCTATTATAAGACTTCTTCTATGGACATTTCTCAAAAGCCTCAATTTAGTAGTTATCTTACCTTTAGTCTTTTTTATTATAAGGTCATATACCTTGTCTCTAATTACATTGACAATAACAAAGACAGCTTGGTCCATCCTAAAAACCTTCTTTCCTTGTAAATAGAAATACTTCAAAACTTTATTAAAGTTCTCTAATGACATGTTGGTATTGATACCACAATGAAGTCTAAAACAATAAGCCCATAGTTTGCATCTGTCATTTCTCACATAATATTCTCTGAAGTAGTCTTTGAAAAGGTCTGTGTTGCTGTCATCTCCTACTTCATCAAGGAAACTTTGTAGTTTTCTCCAAAAAGTTGTTTCGTCTCTTTCATACACAAGGCTTGTTACAGTTTTTCCCATCATTTCCTGTTTTGCTTTATTTGTTATTTTCTTTTTTATGTTCTTCTTCAAAGCACGAATAACGTGCCAAGCACAAAAGAGGCGCTTTTCAGCGTGACCCATAACTTTTACCCATGCTGAATATAAAGTTTCGTCCATATCAGACATGAATACATTGGTATTTATTGCATCTGTAGCATTTCGAATTTCTGAATAGAAACGTTTCAAAGCCCTTTCATCGCTTCTATTTGTGAACATAAAAGCCACTGGAAACCCTTCTCTTGTCTCATCCAATGTCAAAATTGTGTACATTTGAAAATTGTAGTTATTTAAACCAAATGTGCTGTCAACGCAAATTGTATCCTTTCCATGTTTTTTCAAAACCAATTTTTGTACTTCCGTCATGTAGATCAAGATAAAATCTTTTTCCTCAAACTCTGGTAGGTGTTCAACCAATTCACCTTGAGCTTTATAAACTAATACAGATGTGTTCTTTGATTCTTTCAATTCATTTAACCAAGCTTCTGTACTGATAACATCAGACTTATGCTTCCTCCAATCATCTTGTAGGTTTAAGCTTACTTTAATATTATCAATATCTGTTGCGTTTGTGAGATGGATTCTATTGATAGCAGTATTTGCAGAATCAGTTCGAATACTTCTTAGTATTTCTTTTTTGGGCACTTTGTTAATTAGCTTCAGCGCAATAGATCTTCTGTCTTCAATACTCAACCTAACATGTTCTAATTGGTTCTTATGGCCAATATGTTGGGCTTGAAATTTCACTTTTAATGACTGTCCCGACTTTTGCACTTTTATTTCTGATGGACAGAACGAATTTATTTTGCACGTACCTTTTAGCTTCATGTATCTTAAACCTTTCCCTTTTGGTTGGTAAGTGCCACACCGGTTGCATTGATATGAAAAACAGTTGTTTGACAAGGTTTTAGATTTTACATATGAAGTTTTTGTTGTCTTTTCAATTATTTCTTTCCAATTTTGGAACTCTTTTTCAGAATCAAATTCAAGGTTTTCCCATTTCATACTAACACTATGAACTTTTTCAAAATGTTTGTACATATCTTCTTTGCGGAACTTGCTAGATGAAAAATAGCACAATGGACATTTCCGGCAAATTTTTAAATATTTACTACATTTACCATGATTCTTTTTCTTATGCCTATTCAAGTTAGTTTTCAAAGTGAATTGTGCATCACATCTAGGACACTTGAATTTTTCCATTTCTTGTACTTGTCTCACATTTTCTTTGTTGTGCTTCACCTTTGTAACATGTTGCAGAAAATTATCTTTACGAGAAGTTTTGTATGGGCATTTCGAACAATTATATAATCGAGTTTCATTCTCATCATAGAGGTGAACAGTTTCTAAGTGACGTTGAAGAGAGTAGTTGTTAGCATAGTTTTTGTCACAAAATACACAAACAACTTTTTCTTTTACTGGCTTATATGCGGCATCACCTTTTGAATTTATACCGTGCACTTTGACCAAGTGCTTAGATAACGTTTTAGAAGTTTTTAACTGCTTACCACAGACATGACAGGTCATTTTATTGCACTCTTCAACCTAATAAGTAAAACAAAGTAGTTACTAATCTGTAATAATAGTATTCTGTATAAGCCTCTCTTTATCAGGTTCGAACTTTAGAGTGTTCAGGGGGTATATCTATGTATGTCTGTTTTAACACAATAACTGGGACATGATTATCCGATAGGCCTATTGATCAAATTTGACACAAATGTGTAAAAGTAAATTCTAGAGATGGGCCGATAACAAAAATTGTCCATACCGATACCAATACCACCAAAGTACTCTCGATACCTATCGATACCGATACTTCCAATACCTATCAAAATAACAGCTGGATTCGAATAAAACATTAATTTTAATATGAACACATTTATTGTCAAAGATAAATAGGCTAAGCAGAATATCTTTGTTTATATAATTATATTGTTTAATTAAATGTGGATACACATTTTTGTATCCATATTAGTGTGTTATGTTAAAAGAGAGTGGGCTAAGCTCATTTAAGTTTAGATTTGGATTTGTAACATCCATGGGATTGTCTACACTTTCATCTTGGCCTTGGCCTATATTCTTCCCCAACTGTTGATTTGTTCAATTTCCTCTGGGAAAATTCACGTTGATGGTGAAGTTTCAGATGTTTATTGAGGTTAGAAGTCGTACAAGACTTAGGCTATCTTTTTGCACAGTTTACATTTTGCCGCATCACTACTTTCACTAATAATATTAAAAAAGGCCCACACGTCACTTTGACGCTTACTCATATAAAATAAAAATCATAAAATCATTCATTAACTAAAATCAAAAGAAATTCAATTAGAACCAATGTGAAATAACAATAACATAACATCAACAGTTCAACATACGGATGGACCATACAACATACACTGTAACTGCAACACCGCGATCGTGCATATAACAGGACTACTGCGTCTCTAAAACGCTAACCGTGATTGGTTTATCGTCGTCCACCGATCCAAAACCAGGCAATGAGAAAGGTTCTAATAAGTTAGTAAAGACACTGGCACTCGGTGCGGCGTTCAACAACAACCCAAGTTTCAATGTCGCTAAAACATAGCACTTGATTGGTTGATCGTCGTCGCAGGGCAGTAGGTGAGCCAATGAGATCGTGTCTATTAAAATGCCAAGGACACTAGCGCTTGCAGTGGTGAACAACCAAACCAAGTATCCACGTCGCTATCACATTACACGTGATTGGCCGAACATCGTCTCTGGATGGAAAACTAGCCAATGAGGTCGTGTCTATCAAAGTGGCGAGGCCACTAGCGCTCGCAGTGGTGATCAACCAAACCAAATATCAACCCTGGAGTTGAAAACTAGCCAATAAGGTTGTCTTTACTAAGTAGGCAAACAGCTAGGATTCATAACGGCAATTTACCCGCCCTGAACTGACTTAATCCGCACCGATTCGTACCGTTCAGTGTCAGTATCGGTATCGAATATCGGTATCGGCCCACCTCTAGTAAATTCGTCAAACTAAGTTCACAAACCAACAAGATTGGAGCACAGGAGCGTAATAACACGGAGTTTCAAAATTTCAACTTTTATCAGACAAATCATTAATAGATGTCACAATGCTCAGCACTCAAAGAACCTAAAAACAAGGGAATCTTACGACAGTGACCAGAGATATGTTTTGCAGAGTTACTAATTTTATTTTCATTCTGTAAAAAAAAAAACCTATATTACTTAAAAACCCTAAGTAAAAAGTGAAAAATGTATAAGTATACATTTATAGAAGTGCACAACAAGTAATTAAGAAAGCAAATAAATAATGTGTTAAGTAGGTATTGATAACAAAGATAAAAGCTACCACACTAACTTGAGTTTCTGCGGCCTCATCCTTTTTCAAATCAGGTATGTTCAATTGAGAGTGCAACGGATTGCTTCCACTAGGGCAACTTGTACTGCAGCCAGCTTCATAGTCATTATTGAACTCTGTAATAATAAAACAGGATAAATACAATATAAAACAGCGACAGCAGGGTTATGATTTTTGATAATTGAAGAAAATCTTCTACGGGTAATTTGAAATAATAATCTAAAAATGTTTTAAACAATACACATAATATATAAGAGAATCATATGGAAAGATTACCATTAAATTGTTATTGGCATGTTTTGTACATTTTTTTAAAACCTACACTCATTTCAAAATCAAATGCCATTCAAAAAGTAATTCAACACCTAACTTGTTTAGGGTCTGTAAACCCGTTAAAAATGTATACATTAACAAGGGTCTTCTCTGAACAATCATAACTTACCTGTTGGATTAAGAGCTGCATCCAATTGCAGATCCGTTGATAAGGACTGTTCAAATTCATTGTTCATATCTTTATCATGTAAATTATAATTCTTGCATAAATAGTTAAGCACAGGGTCTGGACCTACTACTTTTTCTAACAGGACTGACCTAAAACATACAACATAGATATGACCAAATTAATAAACTGCCTAATAATTTAACATAATTTTTTTATATACATAAAGAGGAAGAATGTAACCCATAAAAACTCCTAATCCTGTATAAATGGACATTAATTTATTCATTAAATTGCATTTGTCATATTCAAAATACAATTACAGTAGTATCACGCAATTAAGTCATAGACATTGGTTTAGTAATAAAAACTGTGACGTTTACAATCATAAGTAAAGTTGTGGTGTTGGCAATAACGTGATCGTTTTTGCGATCATAGCAACTCGGAAATACCGTGGTCGTCACTCAGGGTAGTGGCAACAGTCGTGAGCATATTCACGGTCCTGGCAATACAGCGATTGTCTCCTGTGATCGTGCACTGTGAATGTCTATGGCGGTAACAGTAAAATTCCTGTGATCATCTCAAGTGCTCGTGATTAACTTACCATTTTAAAAGAGAACCAATGGAACGCCATCAATGAATTGAGACTAATTGGCTATTCATGATCATTGTAGTCCTTGGTTCATGCTGAATTTAAGTACGATTCTTGGTGTCTAGGTTGGATACCCAGATACCCTGTTTAAATATGTGTAGGTCTATAGTGCACCTATCTCACACTTTCCACATTTGTTCCAATAAGAGAAAATTAGCTGTAAGCATGCGCCTAATGTTAGAGCTACGTACCCTGAGGGATTTCAGGAACGTGGGTATGCCTAAATGTTACTCGGTAGCATAATGTAGCTTTCTGTAAAGATTCAGACAATTTGGTTTAGATAGTATTTTTTGTTTGGGTATTCTCACACATACATACACACACAGGCAGACATTACAGCTTTCTTTGATAAACTTAGGTAGGTACTTACATGTGATCATCATATGGGAAGTTTTCCCTTACAGGGAGGTGACAATTTTTAGGAGCCAGACAGACATTGATTTGTAATTTCATGTTATCTCGAACTGTTCTTAGGAATAAATTCATGTCATTTGAGTTTTCACAGATAAATGACATTAAATCTGATTCAATGACAGATTCAATCTCCCTTTTGACAGAATTATGACAGTTTATCTGTAAAAATATAAATTAACTTAATCCTGGCCTGATATATACACTAACGGATCGAGGTTCCGTTCCACTGTAGGCTATTTGAATAGGCCTAGTTTTAACCAACCTGACCTCTGCAGAGCGCTGTAGCCTCATTGGCCATCCTCGTTATTATACGAGGATAATGAATTTTGGTAAAACAATTACCAACTTATCATTTAATATTGATCACTCACATTAACTTATTTTCATTTGATAGGCCTATTCATACGATGCGATGTCTGGCGTCTGCAGAAGCATAGGCCTACCCATCAAATAGTTTGTAAATGGCTTTGGTAACTTAGTGGGTACCTACTCTTTCATATCTGTTGGCACAAACGATTGAATGAGTAATTTTGATTACCGGTATTCTATTGTTTAATTTGATATATCGATCGATATTTTAATTCGGTTGTTTGTGCCAACAGATATGGGAGTGTACCCAACTTAATTTAGTCTATTTTTATTTAATAAATGTAATGAACAGCTCAACTTGTATGTTTTCTACACAAAACTGGCCAATGCCGTGGCGTTTCGGCGGTACTTTCCTGTTAAGGGGAACATTCATTATTATCGATGATTTCTTTTCGATACCTAAATTATATATATATTTTTGTTTTCCTTTACGATCCATATTCCATCTGTTTTCATATCTTCAAACGTATTTAAATTACAGACAGACAGACAAACAGACATAGGTAGCAAATGTCTACGTTATACTTTGGTTCAATAACCGAGTTATTGAGTTATTGCTTGTAATAGAGAATAGGATTAAGAACTAATCTTGTTTATGCAAAAATAAGCCTATATAGGCCTATTGGATAAAGAAATGATACTATTCTAAACTAACCTAACATAACTAGGCCCTAAACAACTTGCTGTAGGCTAAGTTACCGTTTCAAAATTCCGTTTGATAACAGATAAGGCATAACTTATGGGGATTAGACTATCAAACGGAATTTTGAAATGTTACAACAAGTTTGGTTAGGTAGTTTAGAACAGTTTAATTTTAATAAAATATTTTTGTATTGTTAGTTGGATACTGAACATTTATTTATCGTAGTTGTCAGCTGGTAAGTATCAATTTGTTAATATCGATAGACCAATATCAAATTTTAAAAATCAATATATGGAAAAGAAATTATCGGCAATAATGAATGTTCCCTTTAACACGTTCGCTGCTACGGACGTTCTGCAACTTCAGCAGGGCCACGACGCCAGGAGCTAGGAACGTTACGGAACGTCGCCATTCATTGTTGTTTAACGTTTCATTGGATCAGCCAGCTCGTCACGAGCATCCTATAATTCTTTGTAGCTAGTGGGGACGTACTTTCAGTCCGTCATCTAGCGCTCAGCAGCGAACAAGTTAACAGGAAAGTGCCGTTTCGGCTACTTACAGGTAGCAGCAAGACGAGTTAGGCCTAAGTTAATATTACCAGATGACGAGATAACTTAACGGCCAAAGATTGAACATGGTACCTAAAGTATGCACAAGGTGGATATTTACCTACGACTCTCTTATTACCAGGTGGTGTACATTAGAGAACAATTTAATCGTTAACCCTCCAACTGGCACATAGAAAAGTCTATAGTAGTAAGGCCATTTTAGTGATTTTGCAGACATATTTTTGAAAATTCATATAAATTCAACTAAAAAAGTAAACCATATGAACCATATACTTGAATTGTTCGTAAAATAATGAAGAATCTGAAAATGATAAAATTTCAAGTAGTTGGAAGAATAATTTTTGAAACAAAGAAAAAAAAACTTTTTTCCAATTTGAAAATTTGAAAGCAAAACTGTGCTGCAAATGCAGAAATTTTTTTATATGAAATCCAAGATAATAAAAAACGATAGCAAAAGTTATAAATTATGTTGAAATATATGTGAATTACTACCATGACTTTAATAGTCGCGCTGCCAGTTCAGATACACGTAAACATGTGGCTGAGGTATTATTTTTCTATTTGAGTTACTTATAAAAATATCGATAGGCCTATATCTCAATATAGAAATGAACTGCCGGATGCAGTGGTACCACCCGCTGTTCCGTAGACTAAAAATACACCTTGCTATGTATTATTTATTGAAAATATCCATTTTTGGTAGTTTTGTGATGCTTACATAGAGAAACTGACTTCGCGCAAAATTTTCTTCCACTTTATCACTATGTTATATTGGTCCATCAGTGTTATAAAATGAAAGTTTAGTACGTCATCTTTCCATTGGTATACAATTTACGTAAGTTAGCGTTCGTTTTTTAACTGTTTATATGCAATTTGAAATAACCTTGCAAAATGCAACTACCCTATTATAGTCGCTGGCACTACAGACACCGACTACCGCGACTATTATAGTCGCTGTGCCAGTTGAAGGGTTGAGGGAAACTTAAAGTAGGCCTAGTAAAGGCCCTCTTCTGAAAATGGACAACTAGGCCTAAGGCCTTGTTTAACAATGGGTTTAAACACAAGTTACATGTGGGCTGTATTTGCGATGCCACTCATTCAAAGTAACTATAGAACCCTAACTTATGGCTGCTAAGTAGCCTAGGCCTCTCGTAACATGCCATAATAGGTCTAAAAGATAACTTAAGTTAGTCCGATCCCTTACCAGATTCATTTAAGCATAGACAAAAAGAATGAAATATAGACCGTCAGCTGTGCTGCGGTTACCATAGGTTCTGGCGCACACCGCTTGGAGCACCACGGTAGTTACGGCGTACGCGCTACGTAAACTACAGCGGTGTGCCCCGGAACCTATGGTAACCATGGCAACCGCAGCATGGCTGAGTCTATATTTCATTCTTTTTGTCTATGATTTAAGTTAGACCACAAAGTTAATTAGATGCGGTAAACGACTTCCTAAACCTAGCCTAGACCTGTTTCTTTAAACTAGGCCAAAAAGTTAGGCCTAAGTTAAATCTATCAAGAACATACCTCAATCATCACAGGCCCATATATATAGCCTGTGAATCTGTTTCTGTTGAGTTTTAGCCACTGGTAGGCTTGATAAGTGCTTGGGCACAGCACTTTCATTAGTTCTTCTTTTTGTGCCTTTGTATCCATATTTAATTAGTGTAGGGCCTAAGGCAGAAATACGAATTAGCCTAGGTTAAATAGGCCTAACCTATAAATTAGCCTATCAAGAAATAACCGATATCAAAATTATTAGCCTAAATAATGTAACGAATTACACAGTTGGCGTATCAAAATGATCAAAAAATCTTAATTAATGCCAAAACCGCATTAACTTAGATTTCACTTAGATGTTACATCCACAATTCGATCGATGTTACATCAAAACACATTGACAAATTTCCAACATGGCGGATTCCAGAATTAGAGCAGAGACCGGGGCCGGATTGGCGCCAGAATTACGTCACTTTTTTTCACCCCTCCATCCCCACCACTTCCACAAAAGGGTTCCACCTAGCATGATCAAGTTAGGATTTATGAGCTTTTTTTCGCGGTGCGGTAGCTTACCCTCTACACTTCTGAAAATTCCCTCGACTTCTTTGAATTACCTCTACTCCACCCAAATTTCAGCCTTCCTTCGTCTCGTTTCTTGTTCTGTTCTGCGTTTCTTCTTCTTCTCTTCTAGATCTGCTGCTGCTCTAGCTCTAGTAAGTTTGAGTGAGGTTAGATTTTGGAGAATTTATTGTTTGTCAATTTCAATTGTCAAATTGTCATACAAATTTGTATTTTAGGTGTGTATTTTCAATTTAGGCCTAAGTTACAACTACTACAGTTTAAAGAACCATTTTTGTCATCACAAAATTGAAAGGTGCAACTTATTGACATGGACATGGTCATTAGAATATTAACTTATCAAGCAAATTCAAATTAGTTTCTGGTAGCCTATAAAATAAATTGGGGGTAAGTTACAGTTTCCTGGGCTTCGCTAATATCGATTGAAACTATCAAATTAAAAATATTGATTAATAATCGATATTTAAAATTATATCTATTTTAAAATTAAACTGCACTTTAGGCCTAACGTCCTACACTATAATTCGAATAAATATATCGATCGATAAATCGATTATTTCATTCAATATATCAAGTTTGGTTAGTAAAGTTAACCTAACCTAACTTAGCTAACCGAATGAATCGATACATCAAATAAGTTAGGCCTAGTCTATCCATTAGTTGCATACCGGTACTACGCTTTTAGTTGGATTTTTAAACTCATAGAAAATTATGACTATTAGTTTTAATATAACTTCCAGTACTAGACTATTGATCGATTTCGAGCAACAAGTGCACTAGTTTTTTTATATTTTTATTTTTTATAAGATGCTGACAAAGTATAAAGTTTTTCGTATGACAGTTTTAGTTTACCATTTGAGTTTTTAGCATTTTATGACATAGCCTATACGTATTTGATACTCTCAGCAGCTGGAGTAGTGTGATTTTTTCTTTGATTATTGTGGATTTACGTGACAGGTGGAGGTGGATGGCTATAACTTACAAGGTTACATGGTACACATTAAATTCATAATGATTTGCCTATTTCGGTAGACTGGCTTTTTCGTAGGCCTACGCTTCATTGCTCTTTACAATTTCAAGAGATCTATTGTTCAAGGCGTCAATGGGCAACTAACCTAAGTTTATCGCCATTCTACCGCATTATAACCCACCCTACAGGGCCTGGATTTTGTAGGTAGCAAATGCACAACTAACCTACCGCCAGGGCAACGGCCATCAAAACATTTTTATGTGTGATAATAAACCTTGTAGGTTAGTCTAAACTTAGTTGATACTACTAACAAAATAACTTAGCCATCTTAAAGACATCAAGTAATTAAGTAGGCCCATTTTATTGGTCGTTGAATAATCACTGATAACTATAGACTTCATCTGAGACACATTAACTCACGGTATATAGGCTACTTGATCAATAGCGATATAGGCCTATTATCACAGTCACATTTTTTATGCATAGCCTATCAAATATATAGGCTCTATCACAGACGTTAAAATAAATAATAAGTATAGTTGTGCAGTTAAATAGATCAGGGGTAATAGTACTTGTTGTAATATGTAGTTCTACTTCATAAAATCCATTTCAATGCATTAAGCAAAAGAGCTGTAACCCCATGATTAGCCTAGGCTAGTCTAATAATATTTTAAGACATTTTTATTTTATGATACCGGTACTAAAAACATTAGGCTACACTAAGCTAATGAAATCTTCCCAAACTTAGCCTACTCGGCTTTTAATTTTTGCTTCGATTTTGACTACCCTACCCGTCAATGAGGTTAAGGGTATAAGTTAGGCCAAACCTATACAAAATCCTGCCTTAATCTGAATGGGAAAACATTTTTTGTTCCATCGTTCCGCAGTCCAAACCATCAATCAGCGCCACATGACATGGAACAGTGGACGGTGGAATTTGCAGCTATATATTACACTAGCTGTTGTACCCGTGCTTTGCAACGGGAAGAGGACACAGAATAGAAACATTTTAATCTTTAAATCTGTTGCATATAATAGTTACACATCCGCCGATGCTTTTAGAAACAAAATTCAACTTTGATGGCCTTAATAGAAACATTAAAGTTCTGACTTTTAAATCTGGTAAGTAGTGGATACCACCATTTTGGTTTTGATTAATTTTAAATCTTGTGTAGGCTGATTTGAGAAAAACTGACCAAATCTTCAATAAAACTTTGACATACATGATTTACCTTCATCTCCCTTAATTACATATCTTTTAAATTATTATTGATATTTTAAATTTCAATTTTGAAGTTGCAACAGAACCTTTAGGATTATTACAGTTGTTCGGCATTTGGATCATTACCGGCCAATCTTAAAGGATCTTAAGCTACGTTTCCATTCCTGCAAATTTGTGCCGGCACAAATCTCCAAATTTGTAGGAATGGAAACATCCTGGCTCAAGTCGCGGCACAAATTTGTGCCCGCTGACTGCGCAACAAAACATGTGCCCGGGCCGCGGGCACATGTGCCTGCAGCTCGCGCATGCGCAGGTCCTCCAAACTACCGCATGCTCATAAATGACAGGTAATCATAACCTCAAATTTCGTTGAGTCCGTTGGAGGAAATTTTCGAAGCCCCTTTGTACGCGCAAATCTCTCATCAATTGATTAAATGCACCTTCCAATGCTCTTTTAGCCAAAAAACTTCTTATCCACTATCTAGGTAGTTTTCTTCTAAGTTCATTGTATGCACCAGCCATAAATAAAATAGCAGAGGCTGTTATGTCATCCATGGTGATTTGTGGAACACAATATAATCAAAATCAGCCACCGAACCTCACCACATCACAATAAAAGAGAACACTGCCTTGTCTGCCAGTTGTAGTGGCGGGACTTGTGCCTGGAATGGAAACGGCATGACAAACTATGTGCGACATGTGCCTCGTCATGGTCTCGACATGTGCCTCGACTTGTGCCTGCGACTTGTAGGAATGGAAATGTAGCTTAAGAGTACTCACGGCGTAGTGCTTGATATCCTGACCCTAGAAAAGATGACGTGCAGGCAGTGGTGGATCAAGAACAGTCACAAGGGGGGGGGGGGACCAGGGTGTCTGAGAGGTTCGGGGGTACCCCCTCCCTCCCCAAAAATTTGTTTAAACTAAGTCTTCAAAAATGGCAGTTTTATACCATTTCTTTGTCCTAAGTTAGTGTGACAAATTATTTTACGCAATTTGTATGCACTACTGTATTACATGCAGTCAAAAATATATGACATATATTTCCAAACTGCGACTGCCCCCCCCCCCCCCCTCTGGATCCGTCACTGGGGTCAGGGGTGCAGGAGTACTATACCAGAAGAGCACAAAATATAGACTTTTCCTGCTGTCGTCTCAAACGTACCTAGAATAGCTATCCTCGTTCTACTATTAACTACAACTCATAACTGCCTACTCATTTGCAGGAGATGGATGCACCCTCCTTCAGAAGGCGCTGAAAGGAATACTAATTATAGGCCGCTGTACTCCGTAAAAGAACTTAAGGAAGAGCACCTAGTGAGATAAGTGTATGTCTGCCATATCATCCGTTAAACAGCCAGGTTTTTGAAGGTATAGTTTATTATAAATATTATATATAGAGTTATTTATTAAATCACTTAATAATTTACTAGCTTCTGTGCCCGTGCTTCGCAACGGGAAGATGAACTATACCGCCTAATCCAAACAGTTGTTAAGTAGTCCGAATTTATGTACAAAAGCCACCAAATGTTGGCCTACTGTATAAAAACAATTATGACCAACATTGTAATTGCCCTTCTGTTTACTTTAAAATATATCAATAACATAATATTCATTTTCATATTTGAGTTGTTTGGCTCAAGATCAATGAACCAACTATAAAAGGTATAAAATTACCTCAGTACTGCCAGATTGATCCTGTTTAGCCCTTATGGATTATGGGTTTTAAGGACTTAAGTCCTCATCATGAGATCTTGTACAAGAACATTTAATACTGTAACTTCGAAAGGGTCATCAAGAGTTTAAATGCGAAACACGGACATATACTATTTACAGTCATAGACGTTTTATGAACAAAAGGAGTAGGCTTACTGACAAAAACTTACAATGTCCAACCCCAACCTCGTGCGCACAGTTGCAGATGAGGGTCATGACTGCGATGCGGAAGATGGTTGGGCGGTGGACTTTGTACAGCTCGGCTCCTTGTTCATCAGCTGTTCTTGTTTTTTTATTAGAGTATCATACAGAGTGTTAGACTGTAAACTGATTTTGTCGTTTAATAATGTGTTAGCTTGAATTTTGATTGTTTTATAAATTTCAAATTCTTCTAAAGCATCCATTCCTGTATATTGCTTTTACAATCAAAATAAACTACGCCATGGCTCGGTCCCCAGGTACTTATTTCAATTCAGGAAATTAAAGCCTTTATAACTATTATTCAACAAAAACTTCTTTGCACTAACTTGATCAGGAAAATATAGGCCTAGACAAAATATAAAAGGTTTAATTTACCTGCTGCTGATCCTGTTAAAACTGTTAACAGGGGCAACCATAAAGCACTTCATCCAAAAATAAAATTATTGCGCACCCCATACAGTTGTTTTCTTGAAGTTACAAGTTCAGGCGTCCGATAAAAGCCTGTAGCTTCCCAATTAGATCCTCCTCAGGAAGATATCTACCTCTTGCCACATTAACAAGAGTTATTCTTCTAGCAAGAAGAATAACTCTTGGTAATGTGGCAAGAGGTTAACATGTGTCTTTAACAAGCAATGAAAGCCCCTTAAAGCTCGAGTTTGTGTCGCACGTTTGTAGGCGGAATAAACCAGTTAAAAACTTTTAGTTAAGGGTACCTATGGTAATTTATTGTAAAATAAGACCTTTTTATTTGAAACTACCAACTACACCAACCCGCATAATTTGGTACCCCCGAGTATTTTAAAATTGTGACTTTCTTTACCAAGATTAAAATTTTGTTTCAGGAAGAAAGATGTAGCCCCAGCTCTGGACAAAAATATTATGGAGAAGGTTGGCCGCTGTACAGGGCAGCTATAGTTATTATTATATGTTGCCTTTTATTGTTATGTACTGTTTTTTATACTTTACCAATAAACCATATATTTATCTAGAGCAGTTAATTTTGTTAAAATTCTTACCAGTAAACTTCTCTGTAATTTGTAAAGAAAACATGTAAAAATGATTATATATTTTATTTTGATCTTCTAACTATTTTGACAGTTTTATAGATAAAATATTCTTTTTTTAGATATATTTTTTTATTGTTTTTGTTCGTACATGCCTCAGATACTATACATAAAGATAAAATGATATTTATATTTATATTATATATGCGAGTGCCAATCTTAAGAAGCAAAGTTAATATATAGCTAGTAAAATAAAATAATGTTGGTGTTTAATGACTAATGAGTGTACTGTAAAATTGAAATAAGTAATTCAAAAGTTGAAACAAAAACTCTATTTAGCCAACCCAATAAAATCACTCAAGAATTTTCCTCTGAATAAATGTTTGAACTTCATAGTCTAGAGGTGTTGGAGTTAGGTTAATGAGACATAAGACTGCTTAAGGGTGTTGCTCAACGTGTAATGAACAAAATTAAATTAAGAAAAACAACAAAAGTAAAGCAAAAGAAAACTTTGAAAAGGCAAAGATCAACAATAATAAGATAAATAAATGTACAACGTTATAATTTACAAGAAAAGAAAATCAATTAAAAATTTAAAAGAATGAGTTACTGACAAACTATATGACTTGTTTGTTTTACAAAACTTTAGCTATATATTTTATTCTTTTTACATACTGTTTATTGTCCCAGAAGCACACGCACCGATACAAACAATCCGAAACTCTCGATCTTCTTGGTCCAGTGGCCCGTGGTGAACTCCTCGATTTGTTTCTTCAGGTCCTCCAGCTCCGAGACTCCTCACCCCTCCATTTTCTTCATTAGCCCTTCTCATTGGCTGATTGGGTGTTTGACTTATAGGTTAACGATGTTTCTTGGAAGTCAGCCCTACCGGTCATCGCCTAGCTCACGTCAGCTGGGAAAGGAATTTGTAAATCGATACTCATGCTACTGTTCAACTCTCTTCACACCATCTGGTCGACTATAGTCCTCGCCACCCTAAGTTGAGGCAGCCAAAGGCCGCACTAGATATACGCCGTGCGGCCTTGGGCTGCCTCAACTTAGGGTGGCGAGGACTATAAGTGTAATGTAAACAGAGTATCTGCTTAGATGAGCACCGTGGGTACGGGGTTAATCCCCTTTCTTACAATGTAAATCTATGTTGTAAACTTCTTGACATACGAGAACTACTTTAAGGACAATTTATACTACGCGTACGCTCATTCTTCCCGTATTGGGGGCCTAAGACATTCAAAAAGGCTGTGCTGGTAAAAGCGACCAGAATACACAGTAAGACCGAAGACCCTAGTTGTTGCCGCACATAAAAATTATACTGGATATATAGCAGGTATGGATACAAAAATCATGGATGCTCAAACAGTGTCTTGCAGCCTCAGACTTCGTGGGACCACAGCCTTTCTGTGGAATCTCTCGCGGGCATGCATGTCACTCAGTCATGGCATGGGCTCAGGAGGAACACAGGAAAAGATGGGTTAGGCTTCAGCACCATAGGGTAAGTAAGCTCACCCTCTTCTCTCCCTCCCAGACGGTCGCCTCCAATGCCCTACGCTTGGACAGGAGGCGACTCAGACAGATCACAGGAATGGTCACTGGACATGGCTTTCTGAAATTACACCTGCATCGCTTGAGGATCCACAATGGTGACACTGCGTGTAGGAAATGTGGGCAATCAGAGGAGACTGCTGATCACCTACTCTACGACTGCACAGCTCTGAATGAGGTAAGGGACAGTACTCTTGGTGTAATGACAAGGGGCAGACACCTTCCTCAGGAGGAGCTCATTGACAGGATGCTTGAGTTCATTAAGCAACTCAGGTTTGACGGACTCTGAAGTACCATGTGGGGAGCGCAAAAAGCCCATCAGTGGCTGACGTGCAACAGGACAAGGTCCGCCCCTACAGAATCAATCAATCAATCAATCAATCAACAGTGTCTTGCACAGAGCAGATCATTTTGAGAATGCCAGAGGTCTTGGCACAGATGTGCTGAATGTCTGGCCCAAAGCCCAAACGCATATGGCAAGTCAATAAGAATCTGGGAAATAGTCAATATCCAGAGAATTTTGTTAATTCCAACAATTGTTAACTTATTCTTGGTGAAATTAACCATTATCTTTGGTCAAGTCTTAGCTAAGACATCATTAAGAGACTGAGACGGTGGTGTCATCCTGTAATTCAGCTACTATAGGTCGGCCGCTTAGAAAGCGACCTCCTCCAGCATTGGTTTAGCATTAGCGCGCAGGTCGTTTTCTAAGCGGCCGAACTATAAGGAGGTCACGAGTTGTGGATATTTATAGGCATGGACTGTGGATGTGATACTTCCTGGTTTGAATTAACACCCTTACTAGTGAGTACTACGACTATCTGCAGTACTATCCTGATAATTAGACCAATTTTTTTATACCTACCAAGGAAAAATGTGGTTCGGATTCTACTATAAACTGTAGGTCCCTATAGTTTCCATTAGCCCAAAGTATGGGCTATTAATTGACAGCTGTGTCTAAGGAATATGTCAGCCTTAGTCACTAACAAGGATACAAAATCGTGCCACTCATCTCCATGCATACTGGTACTTGGCTTAAAATACCTACTTTGTATGGTTGCCATTTCAAATTAAAGTATTAAGCCTAAGGCAAAATGACTCATAATCATAGAGGGAAGCAACTTTCCACAAACAGATTTATATCGTCAGCGAACTAAGCAGGGATCTTGATAACTCTCTTGATGTCTTTAAAGAATATGTACAACTAAAAATATCTGTAAATTTCTTTTGATGTTTTCATGATAAATATGCAATGCAATAACTTTTGAGTAACTTTAAGTAGTTTTTAAGTAACTTTTGAACATTAAAAATAGCTGTTAACAACAAATTTTTCGATAAAACTCTTTACAAAAATCTGAAGGGCAGGTCCAGAATTGATGGCCTCTCAAGTCCGTAAATTGCATCTGTGATGTTGTTTAGTAAGTTCAACGCTAAATGATTATCAGTTAACTTATCCAATCAATAGTGTTAATTAATACTTATGAAGTCAAACGGAACGGGGTGAAGCCCGTGGGTAACTGCTAGCTGTCTAGTTGATATAAAACACGTTTTTGAAAATAATTCGTTTGATGCTTTAAATGCAAATGTTAGGCATTTATTTTATGAGTTATTTAACTTTTCATACAACAGATCTATGGAACATAACAATAAATTATTCTCTTTAGCGTTCCTTTAGCGAAGCACGGGTATGGCGGCTAGCTATAGTACGCTCTATTTCGCAACGGGTACACAAGTTCAGAATACATTTAATTGGTTGATGTAATAATTAAGTCAATAGCCCAAAAGTAAACACATCCGATTTATTGTGCGTCCTATGTTCAATTGTGTTTTGGATTTTGTCACATAACCTGAAAACCAGTCAAACGGTTACATGGAAATTGTGGGAAATTTCGCTCTACAAGTGCCTGCTGCATCCCTGCATTTATCCCACTGAGCTAGATTTATCCAACAGTGTTGTCATATTGAGGGAGTAACACTAAATTCAGGGGCGTAATCTCGCGGAATAAAATTAAAAGTCTGCAGCAACACCTATTTCAAATTTTAAAGACAGCTTTGTCTGGAGCTCCGTTTTTATATATTCTACTACTTTATTTAACTTATGGATTTTATTTTGTACCTTTCATATGTGTTATATTTAGCTAATAATCTTAACATGTAAAAGCCCTCACTCAATGATTCATTACTAATCCAACTTCCAGACTAGCTAGAACGTTGAAATTTGGTGTACTGATTCTTCAGGCATTAAATAAGAAAACTAAGTAGTTTTTATCCTGATCCAACTTTTGGGTTCCACCCAAGTGGTTCTGGAGTTTCCTTGTTAACCTTATAAGTATCTATATTATTAAAAGACTTTGTTGGATTTTGTATGCAGCAAATTGACCCATAAGTTTGAATGTTTATAGACATATTGGTATCCATATATATAGATACCCAATATATTTAATAGGCAAACACGAATTTTGTGACGTATCCGTTTTGAAGCTGCTATGCATCCGATCACCACGTAGATAAATGCTTTCCATTGACCTACCTTTATATTTATTGGCATATCACTGACAAATGATCACTAATGTATCTCAAAATATATATAAGGCCTAGAATAATAAAATTTTGCATTGGAACGACAATCCATGTATATGGTGTAGATGTACAAAGTTGGGGGTTTTGCAAAGTTCTAAATTCAAGGGTGGTTTAGGGGATTAAAGCTATTTTAGAAGAAATTCGAGTATGCAAGATATTATATTTTGGTCTGTAACTTATAAGCTACAAAAATGCTTGGATCTTAAATCTTATGGAAGATCGGTAGTGTAGAATTAAATTATCCACAACTTTTGTATTTCAAGAGTGTTTTTCTATCTCAAACATCTTTCGAGTAAAATAGGTTTACATTCAAAACTGTGAAAATTTGCTTGTTCCTCCACCTAAAAACTAGTCAGTGTCCGTACGTTTAACCATATGATTACAAATCTTTTATTTTATCCCGTAAACATTTGAAATCTTCTATTCTAAAGCTTCAATTCAGTATAATATGTTGTTATCATTAACCGGAACTGCTACACAATTTGTTGTAAAACGGTGATAGTTTTCGTTAAACGTTAATAGAGTCAATCTTCTTATATTTAAAAATAAATTTAACCGATGTTCATGATTGAGGTCTCAAATTGAAGGTGTGCACAGATTTCACTCTAAGCATCGGCATATACAGGGTGGCTGGTCATCAGTGTCACAAAATTTTTTTGGCGTAAGTACAAAGTAAATGCAGTGTAATGATGCATATAAAAGGTTCCAAGTCCAAAAATTAGCTTCCCAAAGAATTATTTTATGTTTTTCAAAAATAACTATGTTTTCAAACTTAATACAGCTATTTCTCAATTACCTGTAAATGGATTTCAGTAGAC